CACAGAAACGACTTTGCAGATGCAAAGATTTTGTCCGCAGAAGCGAAAAATGGGCAGAACATATGGGATCGAACTTGGTCATTTCGTCATTTTCATTTGGAATTTTTGGAGCGCAGTTCTTAGGCGATTTTGAGGAGTTTTCATCATGCAACACAAGGTAAGTAATTTTTCACTTGTTGTGAGCTAAATGTAAGGTTTATATGAGGATTTAAGGAGGAAAATTTAGGAAAATTTAGGAATTTTGGTAGAAAACCTAGAATTGATAATTTTGGATTTTGACCACGATTTTTGGAAATGGAATTGGGAATAAACTACATATTTGAGTTCGTAATGTTATGGGTAATGATTATCTCCCAGAATTTTCAAAATTCGGGCACGTAGGCCCGATGGTTGATTTTATTAACTTTTCGAACGGAGTTGAAAATTGTTATAAATTGATTAATTATGGGTAATAGAGTATATCTTTATGAATTTGCACATTTGTTTGACTAGTTTTGGAGAGACGGGCATTAGTTTGAGGTGCTTGAGAGGGGTTAGAGTCAGTTATGGAACTTCGGAGCGAGGTAAGTCTCCTAGTCTAACTCTATGAGGGGGAAACTACCTCTAGGTGATATATTTGGTGCCACTTGTTGCGGGAGGATACGTACGCATGAGGTGACGGGAGTCTGTACGTAGCTAAATTTATGTTATTGTCCGGGTAGACTTAGGTTCACACCATGCCATAACTGTACTATTTGAGTTGTCCCTTTTTTATTAAATTCCTTGATTTTATGTTTTGACTTGAGACTAAACTTGCTTAGAGTGATAGACTTGCTATGGTAGATATTCGACGGGCTTCATGATTAGCCGTGATATAATTGTACTCTTCTTATGAATTTCTTCCGCATTATGCGTTTTCATAGAAGGGTTTCCCTAAAAATATATAACTCACACGTCTATTCGTGAGTGGGGTCAAGGACTCGTCAAAACTTCCTATTTTAATGGGATCGGGCCTTTCGCCTCGGCAGTATAATAGATACATCTATGGTTCGTGTCGTTCGACCCTCGGCAGTGCGCATATTTTTATGGGATCGGGTCGTTTGCCTCGGCAGGATTTTGTATCACACTCTCATGGGAACGGGTCGTTCGCCTCAGCAATATAATATATGTATCTATGGTTCGCGCTGTTCGACCCTAGGCAGTGCACATATTATGATGGGATCGGGCCATACGCCTCGGCATTTCAAAAAATATACTCTTATGAAATCGTGCGTAATAATTGACAAGAAGCCAGTATATCCATGAGCTTTTTCCTGATTTGAACTGGGACGACCTATCTGGCGAGATCCATTATACATTCTCCGATTGAGGAGGTAACTACTAGCTGAGAGCTTGAGATATTGCTGAGAGGAGAATTGTACCACGTATTTATACTTGTTATTTCGTTTATTTACTCTGACTCGCATCTGTTTACTTCTACTGCATTTGTCTTATTGGACCATTAGTAAGTGTCGATGTCGACCCCTCGTCACTACTTCTTTAGGATTAGGCTAGATACTTATTGGTTACGCGTTGATTTACGTACTCATGTTACACTTGCTGCACTTATTGTGTAGGTACATATATGTCTGGTGATCTTTTGGGCGCAGAGGCGCGACTATTGCGGGGACTTTACCGTGAGCTATATTTCATGTTACGATCCGCAGCCTACATAATCTCCATCAGAGTTATTTATATTCTTCTGTCTAATTTGTAATCCAGAAAGATGATGTATTTTATTGTATTTTCTAGTTGATGCTCAGGCACTTGTGACACCAGGTTTTGGGGGTTCCTACAGGCTGTTCATCATTGTAGTTCGTGTGAATATTATCATATACCCTGAAATTATATTTCATGTGTTTACCCTAAAATCGGATAACAATTGAATTTATACGCGATTTTAAGGATATGTGATATAACTTCATACAAATTGAAAGAACAAATTAATATTGAAATTAATGATAGGAAAATAAATGCAAACCACAAACTGAACAGCCTTAGCTATGAAGGTTGGTCACCCTCAAGTCAAGAAGTGCCTAAATCGATGTCGGAATAGAATGATAAGATAATAAGAACTAGAAATAACAATGTATTGCTTTGGATGCGTTTCTTGATGTCTCCTACAAATGATCAGACCCCCTTTATATAGTAGGGGAGTCCTACTCTTGATACAATTCTATAAAAAGTAAAAAATCTCATAATTTGCTAATTAATCGGCCTCTCCTTGATACGTGCCGAGATTTCCGCTGTGATATCTAACCGATTACGGATATTTTGGCCTTCCGTTATTCGGCCCGATAAAGTTTTCTCGATCTAGTTCGGTCCCGGAGTCACGAGCTCGATGATTTAACCTCCCGCCTTGGTTCGATATAATCCAGGGTTGAGCTTCAACCTGTCACATTTTAGTATCGACTTGTCATACAATAGATGAGCCCAAATTCGACAGTATACAGATAATCCCCTTGTTTTTTCGGAGAGAAGACGACAAGAAATGAATATGAACTTTCGAACCTTGCTTCGTTAAATCATGACATAAGCGACAAAAGGTAACTGAAACGTCCTGTCGGTCTAGTCTCCAAGGCATTAAATGTGTGCTAGTTGTTGGTCGGCCATTTCGGGTATTGAACTGTCGTTTGCAAATTATAAATGCTTAATCCTTCCATCCATTTAGAACTTTTACATTCAAACTTTGCTCTTGTATTTTTAAGAAAACTTCATCATCTTCATCCTCTAGTTTTCTTGCTTAAGTTTAAAACTTCCTCCCTTCTAGTTTTCTGAAAACTTTCATAAACTATCCGCCAATTACGTCCTCTTTCATCAGTACCATCTCTTCACCCTTATTCAGAAGCAATGGCAAAGACTTCAAAATTTGTTCGTCAAAGGGAAACTCCCTCTTTCTCGAGACACTCTGAAGAAGAAAATGTTTTGTCTACTATTATCGAGGAAAAGACATCGGAGCCCCCTTAACTATGTTCGTTCCTGCGGGGTGCCCAACCGGTGCTGACTTCAAAGTTGAGAAAACCTCTTCCGTACAGGGTCGATGCGAGCCGGTCTAGAGATATATATGCTCCATCATTGACAATCTCCTCCCCAAAGTCAAGGAAGATTGTAATTAGGATGGTAAACATGGTGGTGCCTACGCTCGAGGAGTCAATCACTACCCACGTGGAGGGTTTTCTAAGTGCTTACACTTATCCCTTCACGTTGGGCCCTCTAGACCCAGTCATTATCGCCTTCTATAAGAGGTACAAGGTGACCCTCGGTCAAATCCATCCCTCCTTCTAGAGGATAGTGATTCTCCTCCGCTTCTTTGTCAGCAAAATCGGCAAGTGCCCCTTCACCATCGACTATATCATGCGTCTGTACAGTCCCCGACTCTACCGAAGGGGATTGATAAAGCTTGCACGGCGGGCCACTAAGGCCCGATTCTTGAGCATAGATGAGGACCGAGACCAAGGCTGGTTGGGCCGATTCGTTCGAGTGAAGACCTCGGATCTAAATCCCGGCCAAGAAAATGCCATTTCCCGAGAAATGGAACATGAAACGTAAGTATAACTTCACCTTTAAGATTTTGTTTATTTCTTTTCCCTTTACTCTCATCTAATCGATGTTTCGTGGTGCAGGTGTTGCTCGGATGCTGGATGCAGTTCTCCGACTAAAGGAGTGGGTCGAGGGCATTGCATCACAGAAGCCCTATTCCCAGCGCGCGTGGCGTGGGCTTTCAAAGGGCCGGTGGGAGGCCCGTTCTCATGGTAAGATTCTTTCCTAGAACTGACATCACTTGGGTTTCTTTCGAGCTTACTCATCTCTTTTTCTTTGTAGGCCATGGGAAGGATGTTGCAATGATTCCCCCATCCGAAGATAAAATCGTCCTTACCCAATCACCTGCTCTGAAGCAGGATAAAGATAAGAAAAGGAGAAAAGCTTTGAGTTCCTCGGAACCGGAAAAGAAGAAACCGAGGGGGCGGCTGGTACGCAAATCCAAAGAGACTACCAGTGCCCGAGAACTCCCATCGGATTCGCTCCACTGGTTAAGGGATGAGTCCGAAGAATAAGAAGAAGAAGACTTTGAATTGATGACTCGCGTAAGGAACAGTACCGAGCTACCTCAAACCAGGGAGGCTGGTGGGGAGGCAGTGGCCGAGGCCTCCGAACTAGAGAGGGTCAAGCTTGTTTTGCCCCGAGCTAAAGAGGTCGATAGAGAGTCTGTGGTTGGCACTCCTCAGGCAGAAGACAATGTATCGAAGGACGCTCGTGGGGTGCTAAATCTTTCCGGGTTGCCTTCATTCACTGATTCTATAATAAATGAGGCTCAAACGCTGAAAGGACGACCAAATGAGGGTCCTAAAAGGGAAGTCGATCACTTCAACAACTTCTTTGATGGTATGGATTCCACCGCCTCGAAAGATTTTACCGGGTTAGGTGACTTATCGGTACCAAAGAAGATGTTGCCTTTGGGAACTAGTAGATCCTCTTTGAGTCCGAGATTGATTGATTGGTTCCCATCCCCAAGTACAAATTCTGACCGGAAGCGGTCAATCGTTATATCTAAACCGGAGGATGCCCGGGTTCTCTCTACCCCCGTGGGGTTTCCAGCTATCTCCGATGCTTGATGACCGAAGAGGATCAGGCTAAAATAGACGAGGTGGAGGCTCCATGCCTTTTCAACGAGGCTCAACAGGAACTGAATCGGGTAACTTCGAAAGCTTTCCTATTACGTACTTAGATTAAATTGCAAATAATCATAACATTCTTCTTTGTGTTTGTAGGCCTCGGTGCTCCATCATGAAACTTTCCTCCGATAACGGAAGGAATTAAACCAACATAAGGTCGAGGCTCGGGAGCTCACCGAGAAAAGGAATGCTTACAAGCACCTCAGTGAGAAGCTCTAGGCCGAGTTAGAAGCGGCTCAGAAGGAGCATGCCGATCTAGTCGAGTAGGTAAGACGAGTATTCGAATTTAGTGATGATGATTCAGACATAATGGCTAATGACCCGAACCCACAGGTTCAAAAGAGACTTGACCAGATCGAGCAGCTCCATGTGGAGGTGGACACGGTGAAGGCTCAGGCCGAAAAATATAAGAAAAATATAGATCGTCTGGCCTCGAAAAAAGAGACCGCCCAAGAACAACTGGCTTCGACTGAGATCCAGCTCCGGGCCTCAAAAGAAAAGGCCTTAGTACAGGCCAAGAAGATCGAGGAGCTCCAATCTCAACTGAGTTCGACGGTCTCCGATCAAGAAAATCCAGCCAAGGAACTCGAGGTGGCTAAGTCGGAGGTTACTGCAGTTAAGGCCGAGGCTGATGAGCGGGTGGACCGGCATAAGGTCAATGCTGAGGCGACTCAGGTCCAAGCGAGAAACTTGGTGGAGCACATGAAGTGGAAATCCCGAAGGGAGGCCCTCGAAGGAATTCGAGCTCAGGGCTTCGACCTGCTGGTTGAGATCGAGAATGCCAAGATATCTGAGGCCAAGGCCAGGAAGCTGGCTTATCTCGAGGAGGAGGATTCCGAGGGATCTGAAGAATCGGATGAGCCCGAAGGTGGTGAAGGCCCCAAAGGCAACGACGCGACTCCCCGTGAAGATTAGGCCACTTAGGATATTTTTAAATGTTGCCATTGCCATTTTGGCCATTGTAAATTTCTGTATCGGGGCCATTTGACCCTTGTAAAATGAATTTTGGGTAAATATATATAAGGCTTGCTTTCTCTTTCAGCTTTCGTATTTTTTCTTTGTTTTATCATTTGTGTTCACAAAGATCGAAATGCCTTAGCATGAAGTAACTTAGGTTATGTTCGAAGGTTCAAACAAACCTCGCCTTTACATTTTTCCGTTTTAAGGCATCTTGGGGGTTCAGTGTTACCGGAAACATCCTCCCAAAGTAAGTAGTTGAGATTATAGTTCGCCGAGGGTAGCCTTTAGAACCGGTTATGAAAATGTTCTTTTCGAAGGCCTTATTTTTATTACAGGTCTCGGACGTCTTCGAGCCGTGTTAATATGGCCATAGCCTTTTAGTTCAGGTGTCGCCCAGTGGGCTTGCTTTCCCGAGTTATCCGGGCTTGCCTAAGATAACAGTCCTCTAGTGGGGATGGTAGTGGCCTTTAAAATTTGGGGGTTGCCTAATAGGTCTTATGCCCCCGAGGTCTAATAGCTTGGACCGTTCGAGTTTGTTTTCGGATGGCAGTCCCCGAGTGAGAGAGTGATTGTTCGATCTCAGGTTAAAGCGGCCCTTGGGCTCGTTACCTTTAGGGGATCAGAAGAAGGTAATTCCTTAAGAAATGTAAATAAGAAATTTTAAAAGACATGATGATTGCAAGGAAGAAACTTCTCTTTATTCTTGTGCAAAACAATCATACATATGTACATGTTTTATGCTAGGGCTCGAGCAATCTATGCGGGCACGGTTCGTTTAAACGTTTGGACCTTACAATAAATCCTACCTATCGAGACCCTTCCATCACGAAGTAATTTCCTTGCTAAAGTCGATATATGAGGGTAATGCCCCCCTGCCCCCCGTATTCGAAGTTGATCATAGAGAGAAGCTTCGGATACCATTGATGTGATCTTCGACACCGATTCGTGATCGGTCTTTAATTCTAAGTTAGAATGATCCACTGTTTCCTTGTTAAAAACCTTGCCAAAAATCCATTTGGGACACAACCGGTTCAAGGGAAAAAGAGTGCAACGCGTCCTTTCAGACCTAAAATCTCGTACTTTTCCTCGTCGATCACCTACAAGAGTTAGTCCGAAATATAAATGAAAGAATATGAATGAGGTTGTACCTTAGCCGTAATATTGTTTTAGGTGAGTTACATTTCAATTGCTCGGTATCTATTCACCGTTCATCGTCCCGAGCTTGTAGGATCCTTTTTCGGTGATTTCGATGATATGATACGGCCCTTCCCAGTTCGGCCCCAACTTTCCCTCGTTCGGGTTTCAGGTGTTCAACGTGACCTTCCTTAGCACTAAGTCCCCGACGTTGAAGTACCAAAAGTTAGCCCTCCTGTTGTAATATCTCTCGATGTTGCTTTTGGGTAGCTAGCCGAACAAGTCCGGCTTCATGCTTTTCATCCAATAGCTCCAGGCCCGTATTCATGGCCTCGTCATTTGATTCATTTGTTGCATATCAGAATCTGATGCTTGGCTCTTCGACTTCGACCGGTATCAGAGCTTAGGCACCGTAAACCAATGAGAATGGAGTGACCCCGGTACTGGACTTTGAGGTCGTACGATATGTCCAAAGAACTTCGAGCAGGAGTTCCTTCCATTTCCCTTTGGCGTTGGTCAACCTCTTTTAAGGTTCTGGAGTATGGTTTTGTTGGTTGATTTGGCTTGTCCGTTCCCACTAGGGTGGTAGGGTGTAGATAGGATCCTTTAGATCTTGTGGTCTTTGAGAAATTTGGTCACCTTGCTACCAATGAATTGCTTCCCGTTATCGCACACGATCTCGACCGTTATTCTGAACCGACATATGATATGGTCCCAAATGAAATCGATGACCTCCTTCTCCCTTACCTTTGCTTATGCCTGGGCTTCCACCCACTTGAAAAAATAGTCAGTCATAAATAAAATAAATTGGGCCTTACCAGGTGCCCGTGGAAGGGGGCCGACGATGTCCATTCCCCATTTCATGAAAGACCATGGCGATAAAACCGAATGTAGCAGCTATCCGAGTTGGTGTATCATCGGAGGATGTTGTTGTCATCCATAACATTTTCGTACGAACTATTTCGCATCCTTTTCCATATCGATCTAGTAGTAACCTACTCTGATCACCTTTCGAACCAATGATTCGGTGCCCGAATGAGTTCTACAGCTGCCCTCGTGAATTCCCTCATAACGTAATCGGTATCTCCTAGTCTTACACATATTGCCACCGGGCTATCAAACATTTTTCTGAATAAGGTTCCATTCTTAGTCAAAAAAAACTGGGTTGCCTTTGTACGGAGGGCCCTGGATTCTTTTGAATTGGAGGGCAATTTGTCGGTCTTAAGATATTCTATGTATTTGTTTCTCCAATCCAAAGTTAGGCTTGTAAATTTTATCTCACCATGACCTTCTTCTACCACTGATCTCATGAGTTGCACCGCTGCTCCCGAATCAAGCTCGTTGTCTTCAACCGATGATCCTACGTTAGCAAGGGCATCTACCTCACTGTTTTGATCCCGGGGGACGTGTTGTAAGGTCCACTCCTTAAATGGGTGTAATACTATCTGTAACTTATCCATGTATCTTTGCATTCGTTCTTCTCTGACCTCGAATGTTCCATTAACTTGGTTTACTACGAGGAGGGAGTCGCACTTAGCTTCGATCACCTCAGCCCCCAAGCTTTTGGCTAGTTCGAGTCCTGCAATCATGGCCTCATATTCGGCCTCGTTGTTAGTCAATTTTACAATCCTAATAGATTGTCTAACTACATTGCTTGTTTGTGGCTTTAAAATGATGCCGAGTCCGGACCCTTTTGCATTCGAGGCACCATCCGTAAAGAGGGTCCAGATTCTCAAGGACGTCCCTGAGTTCACCAACAACTCTCGTTAGACCTCGGGTATTAGGACCGGCATAAAGTCGGCCACAAAATCTATCAAAATTTGAGATTTGATGACTGTTTGGGGTCGATACTCAATATTATACCCAATAATTTCAACGGCCCACTTGGCCAATCGTCCCGAGAGCTCGGGTTTGTGCATAATATTTCCCAATGGATAAGTTGTTACAACACATATGGGGTGACACTGAAAATAAGGTTTTAGTTTCCTAGAGGCACTTAGTAAAGCGAGCGCCGATTTTTCTAGGTAAGGGTACCTAGTCTCGGCCTCTCCTAGGGTTCTGCTAACATAATAAATTGGAAATTGCGTACCTTGCTCTTCTTGAACCAAGACTCCACTTACCGCTATTTTCGATACTGCCGAGTACAAGTACAGTTGTTCATCTTTTTTTAGAGTATGAAGTAATGGTGGGCTCGATAAATATCGTTTGAGCTCCTCCAAGGTTCATTGACATTCTGGGGTCCATGAAAAGTTGTTCTTCTTTTTGAGCAGCGAGAAAAATCGGTGACTCTTATCCGATGACCTCGAGATGAATCGCCCTAGGGCAGCTATACATCCGATTAATCCTTACACGGCCTTCACATTGTCCACGACCGTGGTATCTTCTATGGATTTGATTTTGTCGGGGTTGATCTTGATTCTTCGGTTAGATACCATGAACCCAAGGAACTTACCTAATCCGACTCCGAACGCACACTTCTCCGGGTTTAGCTTCATATTGTACTTCTTTAAAATGCTGAAAGTTTCTTGCACCGGTGTTTTTTAGTCCGAATGGAACCACGTTATAACAGTATGTGACGTACTTGGTAATGAAGGAGGTTTTTTCCTGATCATCCGGGTCCATCCGCATTTGGTTGTACCCGGAATAGGCATCGAGAAAGCTAAGCATCTCGTGGCCAGCTGTGGCATCGATCATGCGATCGATGTTGGGCAGAGGGAAGGAGTCATTCGGTTAGGCTTTGTTCAAATCTTTATAGGCTACACATATTCTTAGTTTGTTCCCCTTTTAGGAACTACTACTATGTTTGCTAACCAATCCGGGTATTTAAATTCCCGAACGGATCTTATTTTAAGGAGTTTAGACACCTCGTCCTTGATAAAAGCGTGTTTGACCTCGGACTGGGGCCTCCTTTTCTGCTTGACCAGAGGGAATTTTGGGTCCAGGCTTAGTTTGTGGGTGGTTACCTCCGTAGGGATCCCTGTCATGTCAAGATGGGACCACGCGAAATAATCCATGTTAGCTATAAGAAATTGAATGAGTTTTTTCCTGAGCTCGGGAGATAGCCCCGTGCCTAGGTATACCTTTCAATCGGGTAGATGTTCGATCAATATAACCTGCTCCAGATCTTCGACCGTTGATTTGGTAGCGTCGGAATCATCAGGGACTATAAAGGATCGGGGAACCCCGTAATCATCGTCTTCGTCAGTCCTCTGCTTGTTTGGTTGGGTCGAGGCTGGCATCGGTGATTGCTATTTGGCCTCTTGTTTTGCTTCCGAACTTAGCTCCATTGATGTTGCAAGTGTTGATATCAGAATTATTTCATCGACTGCAAACATCTCTTTTGCGGCTAGTTGCTCTCCGTAGATCGTCTTAATCCCTCCTGGCGTCGGGAATTTTAACACCTGGTGAAGGATCGAAGGCACTGCCCTCATGTTGTGGATCCATGGCCACCCGAATAGGGCATTGTATCTCATGTCACATTCGTTCACATAAAACTTGGCTTCCTGGATGATCCCGGCGGCATTGACTGGTAATGTTATTTCCCCTTTAGTGGTTTCACATGCCATGTTGAATCCATTCAGGACTCAGACTGTGGGGTATGATTTGGTCTTGTAGATCGAGCTGCTCCACGACCCTTGATCGAATGATGTTGGCCGAGCTACCTGGATCAATTAACACACGTTTAATCTGAATTTTATTCACGAGTACAGATATTACCAGTGCATTATTGTGGGGCTGTATGATCCCTCATGCGTCCTCGTCGTTGAAAGATAAAGTTCCTACGTAGTTTCGAGCTCGTTTTTCCCTAGTGATGGATACTT